CTGCTTTGGCTGCTGCGTCATACGCCCCAGAGCCGCCAGGACGGAGGGGCTGGGCCCGGGGACCCCCTGGCCTCCTCCTCCACGCCCTCCGGCGTCCACACGCACTCTTCCTGCACTCGAGGCTCACCCAAGTCTCTTGGGTCTGCCCCTGCCTGTCTCCCAGCTGCCCCAGCTGTCACCGGTAAGAAGGCGGGAGGCCTTGAGCGGGGGCAGGGAGCGGGGGTCGGTGCGCAGGAAGAGACATGACAGTCTCCTGGTCCCGGTTTAGGATCTGGGCTGGGATGACTCAAATCCCTCTTCAGACTAGCGGTGTAGGGGAGTAGAGACCTGGACAGGGACACGCCCCCCTCCTGGGGCACTCAGGGAAGTTATCTAATCCTGGGGCAAGGAGCCTCAAATTTGAGGGTGACCTAACATAACCTGGCACCAGGATAGTGGTTCTAAATGAGACACACGGGCCCAGGGAGGCAGCTGTTTCTACTCAGGGAAACAAATCCAGAAAAGCTCCTAAAATATCCCAAAAGGCAACAGAGCATCCTAATTAGGATAACTCTTAAACAGCTGGGAAAGGCGAACCTGAGTGGTAACCTTGGTCCTGCAAACATCTCTTCTCCTGAGGTCCCTGGGAGGTAGGATGCTACAGAACTAGGCTGGGAAGACTGTAGGAAGAGGAGTGGAGTCAAGAAGCTGGCCAGGGTGACCCACCTCCTTAGGTGTCTAAAGGATTAAGAGGCTGGGGTTGAAGGTGCTTGGTCCTTACCCGTGACAGAAAAAAAAGCAAAGAAAGCAGAAAGCTTTAACATTCATAAACTCTCCTTATTTCTGATTAGCACCCCCCCAGGATGCAATGGCGCAGCTCCCCCGGCTGAGCCGCTTGGGTGCACCCTCTCTTTGGGATCCAGCCTCCCCTGCTCCCTCAGGCCCCAGACCTCGACTTTGGGAGGGTCAAGATGTGCTGGCCAGATGGACTGATGGGCTATTGTACTTGGGCACCATCAAAAAGGTAAGAGTCACCTCTGGTCTCTTGCCACCTCTTCACTCTCCTGACTCTTGCTCTCACTTTATAACCTTTGCTCACCTGTTCCAGGTGGACAGTGCTCGGGAGGTATGCCTGGTCCAGTTTGAGGACGATTCCCAGTTTCTGGTTCTATGGAAGGACATCAGCCCTGGTGAGATCCCTCACACCTAGGGCTGGAGGGGATGAGAGGCGCTGCACACCTGCAGAAGCTGGAGGGTCTGGGAGGCGCTGCACACCTGCAGAAGCTGGAGGGGGATGGAGGGGCTGCACACCTGCAAAAGCTGGAGGGGGATGGGGGCTGCACACCTGCAGAAGCTGGAGGGGCTGCACACCTGCAGAAGCTGGAGGGGATGGAGGGGCTGCACACCTGCAGAAGCTGGAGGGGCTGGGAGGTGCTGCACACCTGCAGAAGCTGGAGGGGCTGGGAGGTGCTGCACACCTGCAGAAGCTGGAGGGGATGGAGGCGCTGGCTTGAAGCCAGCCTCCTGACACTTTGTTCCCTCATAGCTGCCCTCCCTGGGGAGGAGCTCCTCTGTTGTGTCTGTCGCTCTGAGACTGTGGTCCCTGGGAACCAGCTGGTCAGCTGTGAGAAGTGTCGCCACGGTGAGAGGGCAGAGGGTACTTGAATGGTAGAATTTGCCCTGGGTCTTCTGGATTGCCACTAGCCTTTCTAGCATGGGTTTTGTGTCTCCTGTCCTGGCCAGTCTTCACCCTGTCACTTCATCTCTCAGTAGAGAGGGAGTCATAGGATGAAGGTGACATATGCCACGCCAGGTTGAAGGTAGCTTACATGCAAGGGCAAGGCCCTTATCCACTGTATACCCATTAACTCGCTTGCAAAGTCAGGATAATGCACACACACCTGGCAGGACCATGGTCAGGACTTAAATGCACAAGGGAAGGCTGCTGTGTCCAAGTGCCAAGCCCATTGAGGTGTGCATACAGTGGTCACTCTCAACATTGTCCTTATTCAGCCTATCACCAGGACTGTCACGTTCCCAGGGCCCCAGCCCCTGGAGAAGGAGAGAGCACATCCTGGGTCTGCCGCCAGTGTGTCTTTGCGATTGCCACCAAGGTAAAGGCAGCTCTCTGCCCCTTCCTGTGGGAGCCTTCCATATTTCCCCTCCTGCTTCTGAGGTCCTCACTTGTTCCTCTGCAGAGGGGAGGCGCGCTGAAGAAGGGGCCCTATGCGCGGGCCATGCTGGGCATGAAACTCTCTCTGCCATACGGACTAAAGGGGCTGGACTGGGATGCTGGCCATCTGAGCAACCGGCAACAGAGCTACTGTTACTGTGGAGGTCCTGGGGAGTGAGTGATGAGGGGTGCGAGCTGGGGGCGGGCGTGGTGGTGGTGGAGCGAGCAGGGTGAGGGGCCCCGTGGCAGCGGAGGCACAGGACGCTGTCTTCCTCTGAGGTGGAACCTGAAGATGCTGCAGTGCCGGCGCTGCCTTCAGTGGTTCCATGAGGCCTGCACCCAGTGTCTGAGCAAGCCCCTCCTCTACGGAGACAGGTGAGCCGAGGGAGACTGCCCAGGGTGCCTTCCTGGCCCGCTGTCACTTGTTGCGCAGGAAGGCTGAAGGAGGTGCCTTCTTGACCTTCCTTACTCCGTCCAGATTCTATGAATTTGAATGCTGTGTGTGCTGCGGTGGCCCTGAGAAGGTCCGACGGTTACAGCTTCGCTGGTGAGGCGGCTGTGCCCTCAATTCTATTGCCTGCTACTGTACCCCAGTGACTCCTGACTTCCACAACGCTGACTTTATGCTCCTCCTAGGGTGGATGTAGCCCATCTTGTCCTCTACCATCTCAGTGTTTGCTGTAAGAAGAAGTACTTCGATTTTGACCGAGAGATCCTCCCCTTCACCTCTGAGAACTGGGACAGTCTGCTTCTGGGGGAGGTAAGGGTTCTAATGTTTGGGACCTGGGGTGGGACATGAAGAGGAATGACTGCTCCCTGACCTTTACCCTCTTCCTTCAGCTTTCAGACACCCCCAAGGGAGAGCGCTCTTCCCAGCTCCTTTCTGCACTTAACAGCCACAAGGACCGGTAGTCAGGAAAAGGGGCACGGGGTGATATGGAGTCTGGATTGGGGAGCTTTGCCACAGCACTGACCTGCTGATTCTCTCCTTGTCCTAGTTTCATTTCAGGGAGGGAGATTAAAAAGAGGAAATGTCTTTTTGGTCTCCATACTCGGACCCCTCCTCCTGTGGAGCCTATCACTGGAGATGGAGCCCCCACCAGGTCACTGGTCCAGGGGGGATAGAATCGGTTTGGAGGGTATATGTATAGGAATGGGGGGTCTTGGGGTGCCTGGGAGGGGGCTGGGGGGATAAGGAGGCCTCTTACAGCTTCCCTTCAGGGCAGGGCCCTGGGGGAGGGGTCTCACGTCCCCTGGGGAAACGCCGGAGGTCGGAGGCAGAACCCCTGAGAAGGAGGCAGAAGGGGAAAGAGGAGGAGCTGGGGCCATCCACAGCAGCACACAGTCGGCATGGGTCCCAGGAGCAGAGGGAGCGGGCTCGTCTACGGAGGGCACTGCAGGTACAAGGGCAAGGGGAATCCTGTTGGGCAAACTGGTGGGATTGAGGAGAAGGATCAGGGATCATTACAGGATCCCTCTGGCTTTTCTTATAGGCCTCAGTGTCTCCACCACCCCCCAGCCCTAACCAGAGCTATCAGGGCAGCAGCGGCTACAACTTCCGGCCCACAGACGCCCGCTGTCTGCCCAGGTCAGTGCCTGATCGAGATGAGCCCCAGTTATTTCCATTTTCCAGCCACTATCACCTGCGATTCTTTTCCTCCTTCCGCTTCGCTTCTCAATTCTTGTCTCTAAGAGACTTGTAGCATGAATGACACCCAGTATTCTGGGAGTTCAGGGCACTAGCAACTGTTTGAACTCTGCCCTTGGTGGGGAAGACACGCTGCCGTCCTCAGGTTCTGACTTGCCTGTCCCACACCTCAGCAGCCCCATCCGGATGTTTGCTTCCTTCCACCCTTCTGCCAGCACTGCAGGGACCTCTGGGGACAGTGAACCCCCAGACAGGTGAGTGTGTCTCTGTTAAGGTCAGCTCCTTCCTTTCCTTCTGTGGGCTTAGGCTCCTTAGTCTCAAACTATATTTTCATTCCTTTGATCCACATGTGGGCTCCATGCCTGTAAGATAGGGTCTCTGTAGCCCAGATGGCAGCCCTTCTTGCTCAAGTGTTGGGATTAAAGGTACAACCCACCCACATCTGGCCTGTCTGGTCTTACTGTTGTCTTCTCTCTTCCAGATCACCCCTGGGACTTCCCATTGGCTTCCCCACAGATATCCCTAGAAGCTCCCCCCACTCAGTGACTGCCTCACCTTCCTCAGCCCCAGCCCCAGCCCCCACCCCTGGCCTTTCTGGACGCTCAGCACCCCCTTCCCCCTTGTGTCCTAGTTTGTCTCCGGGGACTGGGGGAGGAGGCCGAGGTGGGGTTGGCTACCTGTCCCGAGGGGACCCCGTCAGGATACTTGCTCGAAGAGTACGACCTGACGGCTCTGTGCAGTACCTAGTTGAGTGGGGAGGAGGGGGCATCTTCTGACAGCCCTCTTCTGCCCGCCTCCCCATCCACACACTGGCACTTTCATGCCCTGACCTCTGACCTCACCTACAGCTGGGATGTACCTGGAGAGATGGGGAGTAGTCCTCCCTACTGCCCAGGCTGGAATCCAGGGGAGTGGGGAAGAGGTCCTCTCCTCTGCCCCTTCATGACCCCTGACCCCTCATCCTTCTCATTTCCTTTGACGTTATTTTGTTACAGCTTTTAAAGTATTTTTTAAAACTATTCAACCCCTGGGTAGAAAGATGGGGATGGGGGTGGTCCAGGATTCCAGACTCTGTATGACTGTAATAAAGAGAAATAAACGAACGTGGCAAACATGGTCATTTTGAAAGAGGGGCAGAACACAAGGGCGAGAGGCGCTTTTGATCTTCCGCCACCCACATCTGTTACACGGGAACAGACAGACAGAACAGAAGAGGATTTATTGAGGGCTCAGTCGTCACCTAGAAACCAGGGGGCATTAAGCAGAGGAGGGGGCTATGCCAGAATCTGTAACGGACTCTGTGACCTGGTGCACCCAATGCAGGTACGGGGGATTTCCCTGCTCCACAGGCAATGCAATCACCTCAGCAACTTCGTAAGGGTGCACAGATCTGCAGAAGGGACAGGGCTGGGGTTATTCGCTCACCCAAAGGCACACCCCAACAAAGTCCACCTCAGAGCTCTTTAAGTGAGATGGGGTTTGCCTGAAATGCTCGCGGCCCTGGTCCGTCCCCCAGTACCGCCACAAAGAAAACAAAGTTCTTACCGAACGAACTCTGTCAGAGCAGGGACCAGGGAGCTTTGGGTTTTAATCATCTAAAGGGCAAAGACAGACACAGTTCAACCAAGGGGTGGAACTGCTGCCAGGCAAGGGCCACAGCTGTCCAAGGAGCCAGACAAGAGGGGGATTCTCACCATCAGCACCTCACTGTCTTCCTCGATCTTCCCTTTCCACTCATAGCTGAAGAGGTCAGAGAAAGAAGGGCACAAAATCTTGGGGAAGAATGACATACACCCACCCTGCACCAGCAAAAGCTCCAGCCCCTCCAGTTAGACTGAGTTTCTGTGTGGCGACTCACATGGACGAGATCTGCGGGATGAGGTTGACGCAGGCTGCCAGGCGCTTCTCTACCACCGCCCTGAGGGTGAAGCGCGGGCACAGTCAGTGCGCCCGGCCGGCCTGGAGTTGGGCGGGCAGCACCCTTCCCCTAGCCCAGCTCTCCCCTGTAGGTCATCCTGCCGCGGTCCCCAGGTCCCCACCTGGCGATCTCCTTGGCGACTTTTTCACTGGGACAAGTGACAAAGGCTGCAGAAACTGATCCTGGAACGTAGCCGGAGCCCGAGGCCGGAGAAGGCTGGGATGGAGGGCTTCCAGAAGCCATGGACAGCAAGGCTCGGGGCAGCAAGAGAAGGCGGGAAGCCAGAGGCAGCAGCGCGGGCATCCAAAGAATCGACACGAGCAGCGTGGCCTGGGGGGGGGGGGGGGGCTCAGCGTACCCACAACTGCCCCAGGACACAGCACGCCGGGCGCCTCCCTGGGCCAGGCGCCAAGCCTCTGCCCGGCCTCCTCTGCACCAGCAAGGAATACGGCCCCTGACACTTACAGACACTTGGAACACCCCGTCGGACCCTCCCTAGGCGCTTCGGGGTGCAGAAGCCCAGTGAAACTTGGAGACCGGAAGGGGCGGGGCAAGACTCACCCCTCCGCCGAGCAGGACAAGGGGCGCCCGCCCCCAGCTCATGCAGCCCAGGCTGGAGGAGAAGGAAGGGGATGTAAAGCCGCGCGCTTCGCGGAGCTGGGACCGAGAGCCCCAGAGGAGCAGCCTCCTCTTACCTGGGCGGCGGCCACGTGACAGGAGCGGCCTCGCCTTCCTGCCTTCAGATTTGGCCAATCCCGGCCCTTAAGTGGGCCGATTGCCCCGCCTCCTGAAGGGGCGGGGCGGATGGCCCTCTGGCCAATCGGCAGCTAGAACGGAGGCCGTGTGCCGACATGGCCCGCCCGTTTCCGTGAAGCCCAAGCCGGCCTCTGGCTGGGGGACGCCGCTGCGGCGGCCGCCGTCACGTGACGGCTCTCGCCCTC